GGACTTAAAATACAATGCTACGTACTTCGAATTAAAGAACAACTGGAACAGTGATGGTCACAGACAATTCAATATTTTTCAAAGTTTTTATTCTATCGGAATACTTTAAACTCAACAACTCATGTATTTTATTATATTGGAATACTTTAAACTCAACAATTCATTTATTACGTTGTCAGAGGACACTCATTCTGCAGCAAAAGATGATATTTGAAATAACAATAGAATAAAAACCGTCAAGAGTCTTACTTCGTGAAGTCAGCGGCCATATCCTTGCCAAAGATCCAGTTGGCGACAGTGGCGCATTGCACGACTTTGGTGCGCAGGAACTTGTCGACGAGCACCACCATCATCTGCTGGTGGCTCTGCCACATGCTATGCATCTCCTTCAGCACCAACATCTGGGCTTCCTCGCCCCCCACAACGATCGTCTCAAAAACCTGACCAAATGTTACACAACAATTAAGCCTGATCAAATCTTCCACATCAATTAAACCCAAGCAGATATTCCACAGTAATTGAACATAATCAAATGTCGGACATCAATTAAACCTAAGAAATGTAGTTTGTTACCAATTTACTGAGCAGAGATCAAAGGAGCAGAATGCCGTCTTACTATCATTAGAAAATGGAGCGCACAGAACAAAGCAGCCTATACACAGTATGAAAAAAATGAAAGAAGGTAAAAAATTACAGTAAGTGAAAGCATTATCAAGAAACGGCATGATGGTAGAACATGCATGCATAATCTGAACTAGAATATATAAACAAGTGAAGGCATTGTCAAAAAGTCAGTGATACTAATACAGGCATAAATCATATATAAATAACAGAATAACAACGTCAAGTAAACGCACAGGCAGGAACTTGGTGATGCCAGCGAAGGAGTGAGAGAAGCTCTTGGACCCGAGGTAAAGAATGGTCTGAACAAAGACTTGAATCTGAAGCGGGTTGTATGGAGGAGTCATCTCATCGCCAGCCAGCTCCCCCCTCAGAGGGTTGTTGATGCCGTCCAGGACCTTCAGCACCTCCTCTGGAGTTGCCTTGTTGCGGATGCTGGTTATGAGCTGCTGCGCCGTCTCCCAGCCGGACTCTTCCGCTGAAATTATCATATTTATTGTGACTTCTTGGATAAAAAATCCTATTGATTGGAGACACTTCAAACAACATTAAATTCATTAATTCATCATCCAAGTGAATTGGAACAAAAATATTAGAAAGTGAATCATCAGTAACCTAACTTCCTAAGCATATCAATTGTAATATAAATAATTGAAAATGAATTAAATGCAACACAATAATATAAGATTCCCGAATCAAAGTCAGTTCAAACAACTCGTCAGACCAGGAAAATTTTCCTTATTTATTAACCTGAAGTCAATAGTTGCTAGAACCAACGAGACATAAATAAATTATTGCTCATCACCCCCAATGTTTTGCTTGTAAATACCAAAACTAAAAAATTGTCACAGTTGAAATTTATTTCTGTCTGAAGGGAGTTACAGTGCGTTCGTTACACATTTCGAGTGAATTTACCTATCATGTCTGGAACGCAATTCATTCACGGGGAAGCGTGAGGAAACTTTCCTCTCGCCTCCTCCTCAAGACAAAGGCCAGATAGGGGTCATAAATTTGAAGAATATTTTCCAGTCGTCGATTCAAAAGTACTCGGGAAAGTTAAAAGCAGGACGATTTCATTGTTTG